ATCAGAAGAGCGTGCCCATGGCGAATCTCTCTTGTCTCGTAGCTAGCCGATGTCATTTTATCTATAAGCTTATTTTATTCCATTAAGAAGCCAACAATACTGTCTAAAGTCAATCCACGCAAACACGATCCCACGTCTATGGTGATACAACTCACACTCGCGCGGCAACTCTTCATCGAACTCCGTAAAGGATTATCTTCGGATTACCCTTGCACCCTTATTTAAACCTACTCGTGCATTCTTTCTCGTTCACTCGTCTCTCTTGCGATCTGGCCCTCGGTGGGCCAGGTACTCCAGACACTCAGACGCATTCCTAACTTTCGCTCCTAGTTCGCACTCGATACGGTCATAAACTCCAAACGTCACCCTGAACATTCGGCCTGAACCCTAAGCTGCTGTTTATTGTCCATCTTCAGCGAGGTAGGCCCAAGTGTTTCCTCGCTCCTCGGGTCTCAAACCTTATTATTCTTGCAAGTGTATAAAAGATTACGAGAATTGTGGAAGAAATTTCGTTACAGTGCCTGAAGGAAAAATATCTGTGCAAGCTTGGAGCTGGATGCTCGTGGCAGCGGCGCTCTCTTATTATTCGCAGAGTCGTCGAAAGAGGCAGGAACCGGAACCAACCGGGGACCCGGGATTTACGTCGGCTGCCGGACACGAATTTATGCCCCCGAGGCGATTTGCATTTTAAAATTGTCAAGCCCGGCTGTGGTAATGAGCGATCTGAATTGCAAATTCGGATATAATAACGCGCTTTCGAAAATATATTTTCAATTGCCCGCGAAGGTGACGTTACGCTTAATTGATCCCCGCGTTTACGAGGCAAATCGTTCGTCGCGTTTTCGAAAACGCTGCCATCGGCCAATTTCGCCGTTCGTGCAGCCTCGGATCGTTCGGACAGACTGTTGCGCATCCAGCCATCGAATGTATGCAAATTCCACTCGTTGACCCTACGTCTACTCGGGTCCCCCGCTCCTAACCCCCGCTTTTTGCATCGAAGTCACGATCGTGGAATTATTCCGTCCACGTGAAGAAACCTACCCTTAGGACGCCGGAAAGTGGATTGGACTTTGACCATTTTCGGTGGCTGAGGATGATAAGGAGTAATTGCGTTCTCCGCCTATCGCTTGGCGCGCAATCGCCGCTATTTCTTATCGTATCTCGCCCCGAAATAAGGACGAGGATAAGACGAGGATAAGACGGGGACGGGAGTCCAGGAACCTAACGATCCGCGACGAATCGCGGCAGCTCCATTGTTGACTCGTAGCGAAATCGGTTTTTCCGCGAAAATGCAGAATTATCGCCCGAGGATGCTTGCGCGGCGGAAGCTGCCGACTTCTTATTTTCCACGGTTTAATGTGCACGGCAATTAAGACGGGGGATAAGATTATCGTACGGCAACGTGGCCGGTATTAAAAATGTGTCAGGCGGTGGTGTGTGTGGCCAGCGAAATTAGCGCGAACTGGGTCAACGTTAAATCGCGCGGATGAAACAATCTCCCGAAAAACGAAAGGATCGCGCGTCAACGAGGGCGCGGCGAGAAATGTCGAGTGTTTTAATTTAATCTACAATTTCATTCCGACGAAGCGTTAGTTTTTTTCCCGCCGTCGCATCGCGAGAAGTTTTCCCGAAAAAGCCCCGAAACGATTACGTCGCGAGGGTGTCGTGGAAGCGGGAAAAATGGTCCCGGAGCACCCGAGGTAAACATAAATTACTGCGCAAGGCGAATAACGACGTTAACGAATTTTAATATCAACGAGGCCGTTAATGGCCGGGACGACGCAGATGAGCTTCGCGAGGCTCTCCAACCCTCTATTCCTATTTTTCCCCCGCGATGCGCGACGACGTTCCTCGAAATACTCTCAGCCGCGACTAGTCGCTGTTCGTCACGCCTGAAAAATTCATTTTCGCGACGCGATCGCTTCTCGTCGAGACGTCGCGACGCGTCGACCGAGGAAATCGCGTCCCGATCGATCCTGCGAGACGTTCCTCGCGAGCTGCTCGCCTCAAAAGGCAAATCTCTGGGTATTTTCCAGCCCCGATCGAACGCGCGCACGCACGAGTGACACGCGGCAAACGCGAGGCGGAAGGGGGGTGGGATAAACCGGCGAAACAAAATTCGCGCGAGGGTCGAAAACCGGTCGAAAAAGCCAATTCGCCGGTCTATCCTACGGGCGTGGAGTATCCGCCCGGGCGAAATTGTCGGGCGAAATTGAAATCATGCAAATGCAAGGGAAATAAATTAAAAACGTACACACGAGCGCGCCAGCCTGCCTGTCTACTTGCTCGCGGTAAATTGGAAAAAGCACGGGACGAGTTTCAAGTTCCGAGGTTAGGTCTCTCCTCCTCGGCTGGCATTCCACCAGCGAGATTGCACTGTCTGCTCCTCGATCAGCGACACCCGTTACCGCGATGATTTTCGGTTCTAGGCTCACGGAGACCTGGGAACCCGGTCTGATACCGAGGTACCCGACAGGATCGAAAATTTCACGGCATACGGGAACCGAACACGAGGGGGGTGGAAGAAGCTTGCTAAACGGGAGAGTCGTTCCTACCCCTTTTGCTCGCCTCTCCCTCTTCTCTGTCTGTTTTTCCCCGAGGTTCGGACTATGGCTCTCGTCGCGTACGCGCCTAGGCACGGCAACCGTAAATCAACTCTCGAAATTGTTTTCGAGTGGCGCGTACTCGGACTCGGCAAACTCGGTGTCTAGAAATTCGAGCGGCTGCGAGCGGAAACGACGACACGCCGTTTCCGATAATTTACCTCCCCGTGGGAAAGTAACCGAGCGTCGGCCGATGCATTCCGATAATACGGTGGAACGTAGCCGAGCGTCGCGGCTGTTTGAACAGATTTCGCACTCGAACGCAGCGGAAGAAGTTGCCCGGGTTCTGGTTCCGGCAACTTTTCTGCGTCCGTGGGGTATAAAACGGCCAACTTCTGGAATAGCGTTGCGACACGGGAAACGCTGTTCCCAGTTTAATTATCCAAGTTCGACTACCACATAATTAATACCTTTGTTGACCGCTATCTCGAAACTTGCGACCTCGGGGTAACGCCAGGGTACCTGATGTCGCGGGTGATCAAGCAGCGGAGGAATCCTCGTTTCTTTCTAAATGTAACGATATTTGAGGATGTATCTGGAAATGTACAGAGTATACCAAGCGTGCGAATCTTGCGCAGGTATTGGACCACGACCGGAAGCGGGCAGATGGTGACCGATTTTCCGCGAGACAATAAGGCAGCGATCATGGACAGCATCGCTTCGGCGTATGCGTTGCAGAGGCCGAGATACAACGCGACACCGCCGCCAAAGATGACGAAATTGGACGGGAGGACCGGCTGGCTTCACTACCAAAAGTACAAACAGGCAGCGGAGGCGCAAAAGGCCCAGATCTTCGCGGACATTCAGAGGAAAATGGCGAACGCGACGAGCGGGAACAGCCTCGGCCATTCGTGGAATTCCACCGACAACACGACCCAACGTCAGCACAGGCTCAGGATGAAACATCATCGACTGACGTCTAAAGGGAAACGCTTGAGAACGCGTGAGTAGAATCTTTGTCCCGTACGTTGAATGCATCCGTGGAAAGCGCTTTTCTCCTGCGCTCGTGAAAAGCGCCGCGTCGCGTCGCGGTTCACGCCGCAACCACCGGCTCCGTCGATGCGATCTTTTCATTCCATGAATATAACGATAAAACAGAGCTTGACAGCGAATGTTTTCCGCGCAAACGGTCAAAGGATGTTCTCTTCGTGGCTCTCTGACTCGTTCCATTCAGAATCGCGGTCTTTGTCGACGCTCCGATTATCCTTTCATTGTCCGCTTCGTTTGTCCTCGATCTCCTGTTGGTTAAACAACCATCGCAAAATCTACACTCTCCCTTTTCGCTGATTTATAATTCTTTGCAAACAAACGACGAAAATTCCCATTAACGTTCCGCTCGCCCGAAATGTGCATCGTGGAAATTCGTTGCGAGAAGCATTCGGCCGAGGTTTTACCGGGAAAACGCTCCAGACGATTATTCGATTAACGCGGTAATTCGTTGAACGTGGAATTTAATTGGAGGAAAATGAACGATACCGTTTCTCCATTGTTCGCAGGTCCTCCGAGGGATTGCAAGGTGAGCGAATGGGGCCCGTGGAGCGCGTGCAGTCGCAGCTGTGGGGTCGGCGAGACGCAGAGGACGCGGAAGATCACGATAAAGCCACGCCGCGGAGGATCATCGTGTCCGCCTCTGAAAGAGACCAAGTGGTGCGGCAGCGCGAGTCCCTGCTCCGACGGCAAGCCCATCGCGGACAGCTATAAATGGTAGTCGTGTGGTCGTCGGTGAAACGATCCCGTGGACGACGAAGCCGTCGAGTCGAGATGATTTACCCTGAACGATCTGAAAGGGAGGATCGAAGGGACCTGGTGGGTCTCGCGCGAGGATATACCTAGGCGAACACGGCTGGATCGTTATTAGTGGTCCGCTAGATTGCGTCAATAAACGTTATCGTAGTCGTAGCACACCAAAGATTTCGCACGGGCGGAGACGCGTCGATGTCGCGTTGATCGATCGGCGATCGTTCGAGCGTACGTGTCTACGAATCGCTCTTTGTTTGTTCGTCGTCGTCGAATGCGGCGAGGACGAAGAACGTGGAGGAATAACGAAATCAGACGAAACATCATTCCGAACCTTGGCCTACAAATCGAGTTTCCTTCCCGCCGTAAACTCGCTCGTGTTCGGTATCCCTTGATCGAACGGACGTATTTTCTGGACAAAGTGTTTGCGAACTCTGGCGAACGCGGCGGGCCGGCTAGGGCGCAGGCAGGGGCCGGTATAAAAATGCAACACGAGCGAGTTAAGGGGGATCGTTGGAGCGTAGAATGGCGCTTAATTTTCGACGACTTTCGCGGACGGACGCTTTTCAATGCGCCCTCGATCGATCGCCAATCGACGTCGCGTTTCCTGCGCGATATTTCCTGTTAGCCTCGAACGAACACGGGAAATTCCTATCTCGCCGATCGGATCGAGCTTACTTCCCGGCTTAACTTTCAGTCACCCGGCGTTATATTGGCACACACCGTGGAACTCGTGCGCGCCCACCTATCCCAACTTCGACACGCGAAAACGAACGAGAAGAACTTTCGTCAGAGACGACGTCTGTCCCTGTTGGACCCGTCGAACCGACGCGTTTATCATTCGCCGACTCGGCCGATCGGGAGCGAGATAAAGGTTGTCGCGATTCCAACTGCGAAATTCCGCGAGAATTCTAGCCGGTTTGCGGATTATCCTGCCAGGATAAAGCGAATTCCCGAACGCGATCCGCTAAAACTCGGATACGGGCGTCCCAGTTCTCACCGTTGTCGGATATCCCGTCGAGCGATTCGGTCTCTCGTGGTCGGGAACAGGCGAGGGGAAAAAAAAAGAGAGAAAGAGGAGAGGCAAGCGAAGGAAGTACAGAGTTTTCCGAAGGTTCGAAAAATTGCCGGCAATTCCCCGAGGCTAAGGCGTTGAACGCAATTAGCCCGCTGGTCTTGCACGAGGGAACATCGTCTCGAAGTATACGTATGTACGGGTTTGCGTGTGCGCGTGTGTGTGTATCGTGTGTGTGTATCGCGTGTGTACGTGTGACGAATGAAGAAGCCGGTGGACGAGAAAGTTTCTCCCGTAGAAATCCAACGGGTGGTTCGCGTGTCGATCGACGGTCTTAGAGGGACTTAGTCACCGGTTCCCGGATATCCTATCATCCGAAACTGGCTTTGCATTTCTTCGCGACTCGTGTCCGGGACACGTATCCGGCCAAGTTAAAAGCGTCTATTGATTCTACGCTATCGCCTGTAAGTCGGGGATGAAACGAACACCGGCAGATTATGCGGATAACGTGCTCGAAATTCTCCGTGCGAGAGAAACAGCTATATTCCCGTGACTCGTGATCAGGAAAATGCGTCCCTTACTTACCTCGGACGAAGCGAAATCGATAGCTGCACCCTCGAATTTATGGACGACGGGTGTATTTTCGCGTTTGCATCGGCTCGCTGCAGCCACGGTTCTATTAACCTTTTAACCGAGTGCGCCGCTCTTTGAAGCGGTGTTCGCGTTTTCATTCGAGCGGTGAAAGAATTTATCGACCCGAGGGCCCCTCGAACGTTTCACCTGCGGACACGGTCTACGGAATAACGGCCACCGAATGCTGTGTATCCCATCGGTTACTTCTCCGGGATAATTATACGCGGTTAACGGGCCCGATCTACGCTCTTGGTTCAGATCGATATCGACGCAGGAAAGATCTTACGATGCTTGTCTCGCCCCGTCGAATTCGTACGAGATTCACACATACAGAGAAACAGAGAGAGAGTGAGAGAGAGAGAGAGAGAGAGAGAGAGAGAGAAAGGGAGATAAAGATGAGAAAATGATCGGAGATGGAAGACTCGTTCCGCGAAAGATATTTTCCCACGCGCCAGTGCTACGATCCCCGTTCTCACGGCGTAATAGGGAAATTTTTACAAAAAATAAAAAAAAAAAAGAATAAATAAAAGATATCATCAGGTACGTCTTAGGTGAGTGTATTATATCTTAGGCGTAAATTTAACGATAATAATTAACAACTAACGTTTAATCGTAATTCGTTAATTAATAGGCTCTGGTATTATGGCGCCCGCGAAGGGTTGTTCGCAACGGCTTGTCCTCCCCCGCGTTCGTATGGTTGCGTTGGTATCGTAACGGGCAACGCCGCAATTATGCGACACGCTGTTTGTCAGTGGACACACTCTGTCGTGCGTGATCGGGTATCGTTTCGGGTAATTAAAACGGCGAAAGGGGGACAGGGTGCGTGGCGAGGGTGGAAGAAGGAACAGGAAGACCGCGCTCGCTGGAATTTCGTCGTGTCACTCCGGAAACGTTTCGGCATCGATCGAGAATTAGAGGAAAAATCAATAGAGTACAAAGCGGCCGAAATTTGTAGGCAAGTTCGGCCGAGAGCTATATAATCCGCGGAGTAAACGGAAGAACGTTCCGCGTGCCCGCTTGATCCACGGTGCAGAAAGTTGCTCGGCGGGTGGTGAAATTTCTCGCGGCAGACAATACGCACCGATAGAGCGGCGAAAGGGTGGGCCTTTCGTTGCAACCGGGGAGGAAGGACCAAGCCGTGGCAGTTTTAGCAGCATTAAGGATGAACGTTTTATAAACTAAACGCTGGAGGGGGCGCTTTCTTAACGAAAGTTTCAACGACGCGGAGAGAGAGAAGGAGTAGCTGTACTTTGCCTAAGAAATAAAAGCGCGAGATAACAAGGAGAGGAGACGTTACCAAAGAAACGCTCGTGTAAATGTATATCTTATCCTTTCCCGTATTTCCTTCTTCCCTCGAAAACTTTTTCCCCCTGCCGCCCCTCGAATCTTCCCGCTGTCCCCCGAACCATCCTCCCACCGGCTCTCTGTCATTTTTCTTCTCCCTCTTCAAGCCTGTCGTACGCATACACGCTTCTTCCTCTCTTTCTCTCTTCTCCCGAACGCGTGAACGGCTCACGGAAGACAATGACAAATCAATGAGAGAGCGACGATGGGAAGGAAGGAGGATGATTCTGTACAAGTCACTGTGCATTCTAGCCTCTAAGGACCTAGCCGATAGGACTAGCCGTTAAGCAAGAACATGTAGCAATGTATAACACATAAGTTTATATTACATAATAAAATCTGTCGATAAAATCCGTTCCAACGATATTTTTCACTCGTGACGTACGTCGATGCTGCTCGTGTCGTAATAAAGTAGCTAATTATTTCAGGAATGCTCGTACACGATTTTCGTACCCTGCTCGTCTCCTCCATCGCGATACCGGCTATACCAAACCACCGGCTACCGCCGTTTGATCCCACCTTCGGCTCAAGGGTCGATAATCGCGTGAAAATAATCCACGCGGTTTATCCTCGCGGAAGCGTAGCGACGCGCGATGCACGCTCTTTCCGTTAACGATCCGATCCCTGTTCGCGAGCCAACCGACAATATTAATAATCGTCCCAGCGGAGCAATTGCGGAGTCGGAGGGTAGAGAAGGCTGGCAGCGTTGGTTGTTATCACGCAACATTACCCGAAAATAAAGGACGCCGTGCGGTTTGCTGGCAGAGAGACGAGTACGAGGGACAGGTAGCCGGAATACAATACCTAGAAGGCGCACGATCTTGCAGAGCCCCTGCGTCAGATAAGAGGGTGCAGGCGACCCGCAGCGCCCTTTGCTCGACCCTCGACTTTCGAGCACGAGGCGGGTGCAATGATGCTGCACCAACTTCCACCCGTGCTCTACCCAACCCGTCTCTTATCCGTTCGCCTACAGTTAATCGCATTAATGTCGCCCGTTTCTTTCGCCAGGGGCTCTCCGACGTTGCTAGCTCGACCCAAACGCGAAAGGAATTAATCACCGCAGAAAGGTTCGACGGTGGAACGGCTTCTCCCTAGGGGGGTTGCCGAAATTTTCCATCGCGTCGTTCGCGAAGATGGATTAAAATTCGGGATATATCGGATCTGGCTGGTGAGGAGGCCTATTGTTCGGCTGGTACTCCGGGGGAAGTTCCGAACTCGGCAGTGCAAATGTTTAAACGGGAGAAATCAAAGGACCGGGAAGCGTCTTCCGGCTTGTTAGACCAGCCCTCGACGCGTAAACGTTTCCAGACGAGCGAGCCTCGTCATCTCGGAGAGAGGCGGCCCGCGGATTAATTATATTAAGGTTTTAATTAATCAAGCCTGGACCCGGGAAAGAGAAACAAAGATGGTTCCGCGATCTCGACGATGACGAGGCTCGGAGTCGGGCTGGAGCGTCGATGGAAACGGAGCTCCTCTCGTTAGCGTGTTTATCTTACTTTCGTCGATCTTTCGCGGAGAGATAGACGTAGCTTTATTAGAGGAACTTAAAGAAAATAGGCGCGGACCGAGAAGTTCTCGCGCTTCTCTCTACTCGCTGCTGGCAGCTCAGCTCGGCTCGCTGGTCCGGGATTTAACTGGCCGCTGTTGCAGGGTTAATGAAACGGAAACAAGCTATAAACCGGTAACATCTCTCCTGATTCGGAAATAAAACACGCTCCAACGCGAATTTTAATCTGTAATATCCATCGGGTGATTCTTGTAGAGTTTACTTTTCCAAGTTTCTCCGAAAACGCACGACTCTTGGCTAGAACGAAGTGTTATATAAAAGGAACAGGTAGAGTCGGGAGGTTCATTATCGTCTTAAAAGTTAGGTGAGAGTACGCCGAGTTTCTCACTGTCCATAGTTATAATTATTCGTGCCTCTGAGTAACTACAATTGGTCGTCGAAGTTTAAAAATGAGACGTCGAGAATAGTTTCCACGAGTTATTCTTGCACGTATACGAAAAGTTGTTTATCTGACACGAATTTGCTACGCAGTGTCGTATTCCGCAGGCTTCTCTGAAGCACAAGCCACGGAACGGAATTGTCCAAACAGCTTTCAAT